CCACCCTTGCGCCCCATTTCCTGATAGCCTTCAGTACCCAGCTGTTCCTTCCTAGTCTGTCCACCGCGGCTCCTCCCTTTTTTAATAAATTAAATATAAATAACTAACAAGAGTACGTACTATCTATATATATATATATGGAGTTAATAAATGAACAAAATATATAACTTTTATGTACCTTCAGCAAGGTGTTCTTGAGCCTCCAGGCTCTTGCCGCCTGTGCCGCCAGGGACCACCGTCTCCCCTTGCTTTGCCCTGGCGTCCAACTCAGACTTCTCTTGTTGTGAAGACATGGCTAAATTTTCCAAAAGTTTGCTTCTCTTTCTGCTCAATTGATGACGATGAGTGAAGTGTTCGGGACATTATATAGCACAAGTAAAGGGCATCGTGAGGGCGGTTAAATAAGACACGTGTGCTAGTAGGCGCACCTTTGTCTGACGCGTGTAGAGGGACTCAGGCACAAGGAATGAAACGTGTCATCTATATATATAAAGTGTTCGGGATGACGCGTACATTCATATTTGTATAAACTAATATATATTATATTGTTAGGTGCTCAACTTATCTGAACCATCTCAAAATTGAATTATCCTAAATACAATCGGTTATCGGTCGGTTATCGCTATCCTCAGACTATATTTGGTGAGTTGAATAATATTACTATTAGGCCTCATTTATTAGGCTTGACAGGGAGGCCAAGAGCAGCTTCTTTTAGAACTGCAAAAACAAAGATAGGATAGGATAATCTATCCAATGAGTCACGGATAGGATGGGGTAAGACAATCTATCCTCAAACTATCCAATGAATAATCTTCGACATGAATCTTCGGACCCGATTTTTTGTAATGCCGAGCCCTAGAACTTACTTTGTTCCCTTTCCTCTCTAATCAGCCGAGGCCTACAAACACGACGATACCATTATCGTCGACATTTTGAGGACAACAGGTCGAGGACGGTAAGACGAGGACAAGGACGAAGACGAAGATGGTCAGCTGAAATAGGAATAGGCGTTCTCGGCACGGCTTGAAAGGTTTGGGCACCGTCAGCTGAGAGAGGTAGCGAGTTGAGGTATTGGCGGCTTGTTAACCGGAGATGACTTCTCCCTATCCAGTATATATGTCTAAATCACTGGCACGCATCGGAAATTAATGTACTTGATTTGAAATTTGAGCAGCGTATACTTCGATTTGGTCATGCTCGATAAACTAGTACAACAAGTAGAACAAACAAAACAACGAAAAAAGTGTATTAATATGAACCATTCAAATTTCGAATCTATGTCCATACAAACAGGATAGAACACGGAATTAAAATATACCAAAAGCATTACATAATATTTTGAATGTACTGTAATATACAGGGTAATTAATCTACGGCTTTGGCGTTTCACCAAAACCTTCCGCGAAAGAAGACGAAGGCAATCGACACATCAATTGTGGATTGTCTTTGTGTACCACGTCAAACACGGCCTTGCATTGTATATATATGGAAAATCCATTGACCCTAAATGAACGTTACAGAGATGTCTCCTAGAACCCAACTATGTATGTGTTAAATGTATTAGGTATTATTATGGGAGGCAATTGGCACAAAATAATTATTGGAACATCGAATGTTGTAGGCTACGTTTGCGTCATACCTTTCCTACACGTTCGTAGTAATTTGGGCTGGTGATCACATTACCCAAACGGCGGTTGAAAGTCAAATCTGGGAGTTCAATGAACGACACAAATAGGTTGTACAACTCACAAAGCCTTCTTAATTATTCGATTACGCACATCTTCTGCGGTACACTTTGCATTACATTTGGTGGACAATGTATCAGAAATGCTATGAATTATTTCCTGTAGAACCTCAGGTTCACCAAAATTCCTCCTCCGACAACACATGTGGAACAAAATGGCATAGCATGTGGTTTTCCAATTTATTCCGGTGGATTCTCAGGGGCGAGATCGATGACTTCCATCTGTGGTGGTTGTAGATGGGTCTGATCACGATCGTCATCTTCAGTGCCATCATCGTCTATGTCCCCCAAATTGGGTCATCAACCGAAGCACTAGGCCCGCCCTCCAAGCCGATCGTTGTTGCGTTGCGCTCAGTAAAAACCTCGTAACACTCATGATAGGAATCCGTATCAACGGAAAAATTCTTGAGCGTATATCTCCTCCTGAGTATTAAATTAATTTGAACTTTTTTAGGGTTACGACCGCATCACAAAAAGCATGAACAAACTAAAATAAAAAATCATTTTACCTCGCTTACATACAACCAGTACATGTGGTTAACACTAACATGGCCAACATTACCACGCGCTCGAACTCCTGAAACCAACAGGAAACTTGAAAAATTCATCGAAATAATTTTGAGCTGTTGAATCTTTTCCCGGACTTGGGCAATTGGAATACTCCTTCTTCAAGGCATAACTCAACATGCGGTTTAGAGAACGAGCAATTTCTGGCCACAAGAAATTGAACACATGGCTTCGGTGTATGTGTGCTTTCTCACAGCACTTCTTGAAAAGCACTCGGTAGCAAGCATCTTCTTCACCCTCGGTCCAATCCACGTCAAGAAAGCGGATCATGATCTGCTTATTGTGTGAAATCCTATCCATTTTTTTCCGCAAATGTGCATAGTCTTTTTTTTTTTTTTTTTCGGAATATAAGGATTTACTCTTGCTAGTAACTTTTTTTTATTTGTTTTTGGTTCCAAGAAGTGAAAGATTAGCAATTAATTAGTAGTAATAATGGTGGTATATATACATGCCATTTGTCTAAGTTTTTTATGTGAAAAATCTGACAATCAATGTAGTGCGTAAATTATGCGAATAATTTTTGAAACATTTTCTTGGGATATGAAATTCATGATATGGATCAGCGAAAAAATGGCAGAGAGTATTAAATTCTGTGACTTTCGATTTGGATGTGCGATTCTTTAATACGCGAACATATTACGCATAATGGTACTAATTATGCGGTTTTCGATTTGGATGTGTGATTCTTAAAATATAACATATTACACATAATCGTTAATTATAGGACGTCATAGATCTAGATATACGAGTCGTAAACTATATGAGCATTTGTCGCATAATCATTAAATATGTGATGTTTGACTTGGATATGCGATTTGTGAAAACGATATCGTATATAGTAAATTAAGAGGTGGATTTGGATATACAAGACGTACACTATGCAAAAAAATATCGCACAACATAAAATATGCAACGCTCGATTTTGATATGTTATTATTGAATATGTGAAACGTTAACGCATAAGGAAAATTAAGCGGTGGGGATATGCGAGACGTAAACTATGGGAAAAAATGTCGCATAACATAATATAAAATATGCGACGATTGATTTGGATATGCGCTATATGAATATGCGAAATATTACCGCATATGGTAAATTATGCGATGGATTGGATATGCGAGTCGTAAACTATGCCAAAACATGTTGCATAACATATAATATGCAACGTTGAATTTGGATATTCGATTCTTGAATATACGAAAACGAGCTTCTCATAGAAATACAAAAACGTATCAACCACTTCCTACAATCCGGCCTGAACCTTTGGGTAGACTCTGCAGGATCAACAACAATAGCTGCACGGAGTACAGTTAAATTATGCGGTGGATTTGAATATGCGAGTCAACTATCCGAAAACATGTCACATAATCTAAAATATGTGAAGTTCGATTTGGATATGTGATAAAAGAATATGTAAAAAGTTATCGCATATGGTAAATTATTGGTGAATTTGGATATGCGAATTGGAAATTATGCGAAAATATATCGCATAACATAAAATATGCGATGTTCGATTAGAATATACGATAACATAATATGCAAAAATTTCTCGTATATGGTAAATAATGCGGTAAATTTGAATATGCGAGGCGTACACTATGCAACAATATGTCGCATAATTAAAAAATATGCGACGTTCGATTTGAATACGCGATTACACAATATGCGTATGTGTTTCGTGTAATTATTAACTATGCGTCCGATTTGGATATGCGGGACATAAAATATGCAAAAACTTGTCACATAATCGTAAAATATGCAGCTATCAATTTGGATATGCGATAATTATATAGGCGAAATAAATTCGAATAAAAAAAATTATGCAGTGAATTTAGATATGCGATAGACAAATATGCAAATGTGTTTCGTATAATTGATAACTATGCGTCTGATTTGAATATGCATTAGTATATATACGACAAAATCTCGCATAATTGTTAATTATGTGGTTCATTTAGATATGCGATTTTATATCGCAAATAGCTTCGTGAGTATTGGAGTGAAAAAGAAAATTTTTGATGGGACGATATGTAAAAAAAAATGCATGTATATTAGCGTGTAAAAGAAATTCACCCTTTTAAGCTTGGTATCTGTAAGCTGCGCTAAATTCTAAAATATTTGCATTCATGTATGGAAAAATATTTCAAACGATAATTCAATCTTAAAAAAATATCTAGGCGTTGGGCTAGAAAGTTCAAGTGTCCATAAAGCACTGAAATCAATTTAATTAATTTACCATTTTTACTATCGTTTATATACGGCATTTGGAATTAGCTAATTGTACATGGTGAAGTATTCCAGGGTATATTGTGACGGGTGTAAAATCTATTTTTTAACATTTTTACTACCCTTTACATATGACTTTTGGAATTAGCTAATTTCCGCAAATTGCATTAGCTGATGGCTTTTGACTAACGATCCATCTAATCCACTATTTAGCATCAATCCGCTAATAAACAAACGAGTCCTATTCTTGTATCTTGACAACTAATTCGTATTTTACACAAATTTGTAAATCAATCCAGAGAAAACGTGCCTTGTCAACAAGCCAAATATAGTACGAGTAATAAATACCTCAAAATTGAGAATGGACTAGCAGTGCATGAGCTAAACAAATGTAACCACAACTTAAAATTCCTTTACATTCTAATAATCCCAAAAGTTCACAAATCAATGTTCACCCAGAGACCTAATACTCATTAAAATGTATGGCCCCAACTTTCCAGACGACGTACGTGGTTGCAAACATTATTGTACTAATAAACACAAAGGAAAAGACAATAAAGAAAACATCCATACCTCCTGGGAGATTGATCGTCCACCCCTCCTTGGGTAGACCTCTCTTGCTGTCGTCAAACAAATTTGTAGGTGCTTCCGGAAGGCCCGACCGCTTTCTATTCCCCTCATTATCGCTGTCTCTCAAAGCCTCTAATAAATTGCTTCCGAGTCCTGTCTTAATCGGCTTCGAGTCGTTATAACGGTTTAGCACCCTAGCAGCCCTCAGCCTCTCTCTCGCTGTTAGTGGGGCCCGTTTTGGGGTCAGGCCCGAGTTGGGTGCGGACGGGCCCGGATCAGGATATACGGGCCCATTGGATGACTGTGAAGCCACATAGTTTTGCAGCAGTCTGTTCTCTTTTATGTTGGGTGCAACATTTGATGAGGGCCCATCATTAGAATTTGATCCTTGGACTGGTTTAGAGTCTTTCTCGGTGGGTTCTGTTGGGATATTATCACCTCCAACAGCTAAACGGTGGTGGAATCTTGATATTTTAACATCCAATTTAACTGGAGGCGAGAGAGATGTGAGAGAATGGACCCTGAGTAATAGTACCCTAATGCAAGGTCTAGTTGCCGGCTGATAGTTTACCTGGGACAATAGACCGAAAAGGAAATATATATATGGAAATAAATCAACTAGTAGATGGGGTCATCATCGTGTTTCGTGTGTATGAAAACACACAAGTTCTACTGCAATCAAGTTGACCTTCTTGAGAGAGAGAGAGTGGATGCACAATTCTCACATAAAATTATATGAACAAAGTTATTCAGTATGTGTAATGCCCACGACTCATCAAGAGAACTTAGACCCTCAGAGTTCAACACTACCTATTTCGGTAACAGATGCACAACGGTGGAAATGAAAGTCTAAAAAAGCTATGAATATGATGAACCATAGTCAAATCATATTCAATAAGATACAAAACTAGTGTAGATGGATCCAACCTTTAACTGCAATCAACATTGCAATGATTTCTCATGTTCCCCACCAAATTACTATTTGCATTCCACCTCAAATTTTAAGAAGATAGAAGTGGTTAATGATCCGGTCATACCATAGTCGTCATATTATAGTATGTAATGTCCATACAAGCATCGCAGCTATACACAATCGAGGAGCTGAGAATGCCCGGTTGAGTGCTTTTTACTTAGGGTCATGTTTCTGAATTTCAAATGAGTGTTTTCATTCAGAAAAATATGGTATGAAACATGAACCGAGTCTAGACATTAATGTATACTAGCAAAAACATAAACACTCATAGTGCTAACATTAACCAACCAAAAAATTAGATACATGTGTCTCGTGTGTCCACTGGTTAAGGGTCTATTTGATAACTTGCAAAAAAGGGTCTTAGTTATAGTCTTAAAATATTTATGTCTACAAGTCGCTTTTGTCTATAATTTGACACTCCATACCCAAGGATACAAGATGATTGCTAGAATCGTACACCACTTCCATATATACTTCAAATGAGCGAAGAATAGAGGGAGAGAGAGAGAGAGACGAGATAACATTTGAGAGACATGAATCAGGTCATATAGGCACGTCTCTTTGATTGAATGGGTTTGTCAAGTGAGAATAGACATATGCCACATACCTCAAACAATAATTAACATTGAGCCAAATTATGTTTCGCTTCTCAACAAAGAGGATGAAAAAGAAAAATTAAAGCAAAAAAAGGGACCTTGGCAAAGTAAACACATGTTCAACCAAATGTAAGGCCATAACTTCCAATCAATCAATTCAATCAGCACCCAAGTTTTAACCGCAGCCCAGTGAACTAAAATCGAGCAATAGCATAATTAAGAAAATGCACAACTACACGCACAAACAAAACAAAGTAGAGATGAGAAGGAGAGCTCGATAAAGAGAGACATACAGTGGGACTTAAGATATTGGTTGAATTTAGTGAAACAACCATGATTGGTTTCGGAGACTGAGTGCTCAAGGGTCAACCATTAAACCTTTTGCTCACGGAGAGAAAATGGGCATTGAGAGAAGTGAAGAGAGTGGTTTGCTGCCCGATCTGTGGAAGAGGGAATCGAAGGAAGGCAGCTACCAAAATGAATGGTGCAAAATAATTCCAAACATAATCTGCTCCGATTTTCATAGATAGAAAGGGAAATGGGGAAAGTTTCTTTTATGTTGTCCCAACTTAAACTTGGAAGAATATTGGTTTGGAATAGTCCGACAAACATCAGTATTTTCTAGAAGATTTTTTTATTAGCCAAACAAAATAAACTTAGAAAAAAATTCTATTTATTTTCATATGAATTAATTAAGTTCCTACTATTCATTATTAATAATATATGTATATATTTATTATTTAATATGTATTATGATGTCCTAATTCTTTTAGGGGTGGGTGCGGTCCGGGACTGCCCGGGTTTTGCCTTGTCCCAGTACTTGTCTCTCTTTTTTGAACCGGTACGGGAACGGTCCGGACGAGACACTGTCCCAAACGGACCGGTATCATTCGGAATCGGGAAAACGGGACACATATAAACTAAATCAAAGAGTATTGATTTCATTAAAATTTAAAACAAACAACCAACATGTTAGACTCCATAATTTTGATTGAAACAAACTCACCGATTCAAGTATTCACTTAAACCAAATTACCAAAAAATATTGATTCCATTATAACAAACATAACGATCCTAAGTCATCACTCACTAACATCTAAGATCTAACACAAACATTATTTTTCAAACCAAATTATCAAATGCATTGTTTAGTTTAATTTTTTTATTATTATTTCTTTTTTTTGCCATTGTTTAGTTTTGGCTTGGACAATTGAGTTATTGTTTTTTATATTACAAAGTTAGAATGCTATTGAAGCTTGAATGTCAAAATAACCTATTGTTAATAATATAATTGGTACCATATTTTTCGGAACGGGACCTTTTCGGTCCGATTCGGTACGGGAAAATTCGGTTTTTTTGCCCACCCCTAAACTCCTTAGGAGAAGGAGTACATAATATATATCTTATATATTCACTTACTATGACACTTGATATAGCACATAAGAGTAGCTCGGTAGACCCGGATACTGCTAGCTCAGTTTATGGACCAGGATTAACTAGAATGACGGATTGGGAAGACAACTTAGCCTGATTAACAGCTCGGACCTCAAGTGACCCAGTTGACAGCATTATAGTATGGCAAAGCCTCACATCTGAGTAGCTAGACTTCTAGTGGGACGTGAAAGTGTGGGGAGCTTGGCACAGTATTAGCTCGATTAGTGGTGGAGCTGGGGAGTGGTAAGAGCTCGCCATTGTAGTAGCTCGACATATTGAGAGCTCGTCATAACAGTGATTCGACATGTTAACAGCTCGTTATAGTAGTAGTTGGACATGTTGAGAGCTCGTCATAATAGTAGCTTGATATGGCAATAGCTCGTCGTAATTGTAGCTCGGCGTAATAAAGGCTCGGTGCAGTATAATAGGGGGATCTTTTATGGAAAGGCCGACCTGCGGTGACACTTTTATAGACTAACGGTCGAACTAGTAAGGCAGTTACGAAACATGGTCCAGTAGGGACACGTGTAGGGTCAGGATCATAAAGGAATAAATGATCTACGGACGAAGAACAAAGCGAACAGGGGAAGCTAATAACTCCATATAAATAGGTAAATTGGGGAAGAAGCTAGGTTAATCACACTCTATACCCTAATTATTTCATACAATTATACACAGCTTTCCATAGCCCTTTACTGATTTGATCGTCAGAGGTTTAACACCGGGGGCACCTCCAGGCATCATTGCAGGTATGTAGACAGCAAGTGGTGAAGGATCAGTGGAAGGCCGGTTCGAGGTGCAAGAGCACATCAATTGGTGTCGTCTGGTGGTGTAACTTTGTTACTCTACTGGTTGTGAACGAAGCTAAGATGGGTAGGATGATTGTAACAGCCCAGTCCACCCACTGTAGAATATTGTCCGCTTTGGGTCCTCTGACCCGCACGGTTTTGCCTTTGGGAGCTAGCTCACCAAAACGCGTCCTACAAGTTAAGGTATCCACACCCTCTTATAAGGCATGTTTCGTTCTCCTTAACAACCAATGTGGGATATTATAATCCACCCCTCTTGGGGACCCAGCGTCCTCGCTGGAACACCAGTCCGGGTACTGGCTCTGATACCATCTGTAACAGCCCAGTCCACCCGCTGTAGAATATTGTCCACTTTGGGTCCGCTCACCCGCACGGTTTTGCCTTTGGGAGCTAGCTCACCAAAACGCATCCTACAAGTTAAGGTATCCACACCCTCTTATAAGGCATGTTTCGTTCTCCTTAACTGTGGGATATTACAATGATTGTAGAAAAAGAAAGGTTGCGGAGGAACTTAGATGCTAGCCGAGAGGAGGCTTGGGTAGCAACGACGCCCCAGGGTGGAGGACCACCAGTTGTGGGAGCTGGAGGTGAGGGTTCGATGGTTACCCCTCAGATCACTTTGCAGGGGGTTAACCAGACTTTGTTGTTGGAGATACATCCGAGGTTGGTTAGCCAGGTGAGGGGCAAGGAGGTTGTTGCAGATGCCTGGTCAGAGAATAGCGACGGGAGGAGGTGAGCAGGTATTGCCGGTGACTAGAGGGGAGTTGGATCGCCTCATAGCGGAGGCGGTCGGAAGGGCATGGTAGCACGAACACAAGAGCGGAGGAGAGGTCAGCTGCGTTAGTAGTACTGTTGGGATCTGTGAGGTGAGGATCTCGTTATGTACAAGTCACGAATTCAATACCAAACGTAACCTATGTGCAGCGAATCTAAAGGTTTGACATAGAAAACTTACGGCTTAAAATTCGGGATGACCAGGAACACCACACGAACATATGGCGGGGATCGAGCAGGTCGTGTGGTGCGTTGATCGCCAGTCGAGTCACGGCGATTGGGTGGCCAATCGTGTCATGGCGTGGGGCTGCCGGCGGTGGTCGGCTCGTCACGGTGGAGCTCCAGCTGGCTGGGGTCGGCGATCCTCGACCTTCGGGTCGTGGTTCGTCGACATCTGTAGATGATCACGGGATTTCGATTACCTTCAGGATCTTCTACTGTTTAACTCTTACACCTCTTCAACTTGTACTGGTGGAGCAACAAGAAGTAGATAAAGCTCGAATGAGATCTAGAGAGAGAGAGGGGGGAGGGGCGCCGATTTCACGTGTGTAATTTGATCTCTCTTCTTCTCATGAGCTTAATGATGTATATATAAAGCTACAGTAGGGATCCTTAGGAGAATAGGAATACGGCTTCTTACGTAATGAACTAAATGTGGGCCAGACTCACTCCTCCAATTACTTAAATAATATTATGGTCCACTGACGTAATATTATTGCACTCCATTTTCCTAGCCCAAATTACAATTGAGACTACAATAAGAATTACCCGAATTACCTCCTCATGTTTAAGATATAATGTCCATTAATTAATTTCGTTACTGATAATCAAGAATTAATTAATATATTATATTTTTAAAGCTAGCGCTCGTTCATCACATTATTATTATGCCAGAACTTAATCCACCTGCAGGGTTTAGCATAACAATCCTTCATGAACTCACTTCAGGGATATCATCAAACTAAACGTACATGGTGACCGTAAATATCCTAATAGCACATCATACATACAACAATATTTCCCAAGACAGTAGAAAAATTAATCTAGCGAACTGAACCTCACACAAGTGAATCAACGTAATATATAATGCTATATATATATATATATATATATATATATATATATATATATATATATATATATATATATATATATATATATATATATATATATATATATATATATATATATATATATATATATATATATATATATATATATATATATATATATATATATATATATATATATATATATATATATATATATATATATATATATATATATATATATATATATATATATATATATATATATATATATATATATATATATATATATATATATATATATATATATATATATATATATATATATATATATATATATATATATATATATATATATATATATATATATATATATATATATATATATATATATATATATATATATATATATATATATATATATATATATATAGTGAAAATAGCTATTTTCACCCTGTTTTAAAGTCCTCCTAAGTTTTTCTAAAAAGCTAAGTTTTTCACCCCAAAAAGTATGAAGACATATGCGATGAACTATGCGATAGATAGACGACCGGTATGAGCATGGGCGAGAAAATTATGAGTTAAAGTATGCGACTGTTCTGCGACGAGTATGCGAAAATTCGATGTACGATTCGATCAATCGCGGTGCGTCGCCCATTAAATAATTATTCTTGTTAGGCGAATGAATCTGCGACTATTAGTCAAAAAAATTATTCTGCAAGACACGAACGTCGAATATTATTCGTAGAGTTGGTGCATTATAAGGTTTTTTCGTAGAATACTTTTTATTTCTTTCATCTTTCAGTTATGTGATGGGGTATGCGAATTGCCACATATTGCTCGCACTTCTACTCGGAAGTTATTTTTTATTTCTTTCAGTTATTTCAGTTATGCGAGGGGGTATGCGTACTGCCGCATATTGCTCGCATATCTCCTTCGTACTTCTACTTGAAATTTTTATTTCTTTTTTATTTCTTTCACCTTTCAGTTATTTCAGTTATGGGATGGGGTATGCGAATTGCCGCATGTTGCTCGCATACCCACTTCACACTTCTACTCGAAAGTTTATTTTTTACTTCTTTTTTATTTCTTTCACCTTTCAGTTGATTCAGTTATGAGATGGGGTATGCGAATTGCCGCATATTGCTCGCATACCCCCTTGCGACGAGTATGCGTAGATTCGATGTACGATTCGGTCAATCGCGGTCCGTCGCCCATTAAATAATTATTCTTGTTAGGCGAATGAATCTGCGACTACTAGTCGAAAAAATTATTCTGCGACATACGAACATCGCATATCATTTGTAGAGTTGGTACATTATAAGTTTTTTCGTAGAATATTTTTTCTTTCTTTCATATGCGATGGGGTATGCGAATTGCCGCATATTGCTCGCCTACCCCCTTCGCACTTCTGCTCTAAAGTTTATTTTTTATTTCTTTCAGTTATTTCAGTTATGCGATAGGGTATGCGAATTGCCGCATATTGCTCGCATATCACCTTCGCACTTCTACTCGAAAGTGTATTTTTAATTTCTTTCATCTTTCAGTTATGCGAGGGGGTATGCGAATTGCCGCATATTGGTCGCATACGCTCTTTGCACTTCTACTCGAACATTTATTTTTTATTTCTTTCAGTTATTTCAGTTATGCGAGGGGTATGCGAATTGCCGCATATTGCTCGCATACGCTCTTCGCACTTCTACTCGATAGTTTATTTTTTATTTATTTTTTATTTCTTTCAGTTATTTCAGTTATGCGATGGAGGTATGCGAATTTCCACATATTGCTCGCATACCCCCTTCGCACTTCTACTCGAAAGTTTATTTTTTATTTATTTTTTATTTCTTTCAGTTATTTCAGTTATGCGAATTGCCGCATATTTCTCGCATACCCCCTTCGCACTTCTACTGGAAGGTTTATTTTTTATTTCTTTCATCTTTCATCGTTTAATTTAGTTTAATTTTTTTCTTTCAGGTATGAGAAATGCCACATACATACAACAAACAAAATATAATAAAATGCAAAAAAAAAAAATGTATTACATGAATCATACTGGGACGGTAATTGTTTCTGGTTCTGTACTAAACTGAAAAAATTTTCGAGCAATTTCGCGCCTCCTTTTCCCAGCCCACTGCTTGGTAGACTTGTCTAAGGGCTTCGTTCCTGTTAGCAATGTTCGTACCATCTCCACAACGCATACACCACAAGAAATTCTATCATCTTGCAAGATAGTATCTTTGGTGTCCATGAATATCAATTCGAACTTTTCGCTCACCCCCTCTACTTCCGTATACGTCGCAATCAGTGGAATTAGATTTTTGATTTTTTGGAGTGATTTAACGTGGGATTCGAGAATTTTCTCGTTCTCCTTTTCTAGATACGTATGCCGTAGGGGGTTAAACACACGTATCGTCCCCTTGCGTAAAAGGATCTGTAAAGTTATGTAGTGCTCCGACAAATTCGCTACTCCAATAATCTGTTGCATTCAGTTATGAGAAATTCACTAATTTTTTAGGAAAGACTGCAATATTAATTTGATTCGGAATCTTTGAAAATTTACAGAATCAATCTGCCCCCAAGTATACAGATTCCCCCAATCGCTGACCCCCTCATTCGCACAGCGAATCAAATATTTGAGGTTTTCCGAGTCCGGGTCTACTAACCCCTTTTCCACATCCTTCTCCAATTCCCCCAGAATCCACTATATAAAATACAACAAAATAATAAATAATTTTGTTATTAATATGATTATTAATAAAAATAGAATGACAAGGAAAAGAGAAAGGATTAAAATAATCTCACAAAAAATGTAGTCGGCACGATGGTATAAGTGCCCAACATCTCGACCAGTGGCTCCAACTCCAAAAATTCTGGATTGCTTTGCATAATCCCCAAGTATGCATTCACATGCTGTTTTATAAAATCAAACCAAACATCATCCATCAATTCATTTTTATACGTTAAGATATTACAAGACAAACATATACATACCTCCTCCGACATCATTTCAGCCGGATTAATCAACTCCTTAAACCAGTCCTGGCCCACCTCATTCTTAACGCCGACATTCCTCCTATTAAATAATATAATAGAAAGTTATTTTTTTTAAATATAAACAATAAAAGATCTTTTGGATGCACTCACGTTTCTGGCTTCTTGGATTTGAGGAACCGTTCAAACCCGCGCTCACTTTTGGCATACCTTCTGTTCTCGACGGGACGATATGGACTTACAATAGCACGTCCTGGTCGTCTTTGCCGATCAACTTTAATCCCGAAAGATGAGGACTGCGGAGAAGAAGTGGACTGCAACACGGCTGTCTTGGAGGTGGGAGTGGCGACTATCTCGGTGAGGGGATTGTGGACGGGTTTCTCGGAGGTGGAGGTGGGATCGATGACTGTCTCGGTGAGAGGATCGTTGGAGGTGGGATTGACGGCTTTCTCGGAGGTGGGAGTGGGGGAACGCTGTCTCTTACAGGAGGGGGAAGGCTGGCTCTCATGGGAGTGGTTGGGGGAAGGCTGGCTCTCATGGGAGTGGTTGGGGGAAGGCTGTTTCTCATGGGAGCGAGGGGGAACATTGTCTCGTC